TTATGCTTCAGAAGATTGGAGATTGACGAGAATTAGGCTTGAGATGGATTAATGATTGTACATTGAGCATTGACCCCCCTATACTGAATTTTATTGTTGTTAACAACCATTTGATCAATAAATATGAGAGATGCCCTCCAAAAAAAAAAAAAAAACTAAAAACAGAAATACAAAAAAAAAAATTTCTGTTTGTAGGAATTAGTCATTACAAGGACAAATAGCTGTGATCTAACATTAAACCGTCTTCATAGTTGTGGATAATACGACCCAAATGTTTAAAATAAATGAAGTTCATTTTTTAAAATAGAATTTTAAAATTCTAAAACCCTTTTTCAAGGATTGAATCCAAAATGATCTTTTAATTGGTTATTCAAAGAATGGAAGAATTCACAATTCAAATTGAACACCTGTGTACTCAAAGCTTTTCTGCCCATTTTGCATACATATTTTTATTAATCAGCAAAAAGCTATTTCCCTTTCTATTAATAGAAAAAATCTTTTTAATGAAATGTAATTATACCAGTGGGGATATTCATGTAAGATATTCAAGAACAAGTAAGTGGTGGTTGTTTCAATCACATTGAGTTTTCATAGCAGGCCTAGTATTTACATTTTTTTTAATGATGAACATATAGCCTCTGCCATAATAAGGACTTAAAATATTTTTAATACTTTGGAATATCTTGATGTTGTATTTATGATGATGACATTAAGGTAGACATTGCAGAAAAAAAAATATCTAAGGAATTTTGACAATAAGAATGCCCCTTAATCTCACTGTCTAGAAATTACCATTTTTTATATTTTGGTATATGTGTTCCCATTTTTTATGTGTGAACATTTCCATGTGGTTCTGTTTTGGCAAAACACAATTGATCAAATAAAGGAGACAGAGTCCTACTCTTAGTTTGAAAAAAGAAATCTAGCCTAATCATGGGTTTCCTTATACCTCTGTGTGCTGGGGAGAAGGAAATGCCAGGGATCTCCTTGTTTGAAAAACAGTCTGTTTTCACCTTTTATATATTGGAAATGTTGTTAATTACTATGGTATCAAGTTAATAAGTAATACATCCTTTCAGAATTAATAATTTAGATATTTAAGGTCACTTTTTGAGGAAATAGACTAAATTCTAATTCCAGCTGTCTTCCAAGTATAAATAATATTTCCAAACGTAGTTATAATAACAGAAGATGAAGATTGTAATATAAATCCCCATATTATGCAGAGGAATAAAATCCGCTCATTTATTAAGTTCTGCATTTTATTATATCCTGGTATTATACAGAAATATAAATCTTTCCTTCCCCAGTCCCCAGCATCTACAGAGAGCAAGAAAAATTCTGTTCAGCATTATAAATATACATATATATACACACATGCACATTACATATACATGTATGTGTACGTGTATGTGTGTATAGCTTCTAGAAAGGGGACATTCTCCTTATCTGGGTGATAATGTATTTTGTTACCTGTGATTTTATTAAGAATTATATTTTCTCAAAGATAGGAACTGAAATTTTTTTAATTAAAGAGAAAGCCCAAGAAACACAATTTTTCTTTAAGAAGAACATAATGGAGCGAGAATTAACTTCCTTCTATGATAATGGATTAAGTGACATTTAATGACCTTCATTTTCAATAATGATAGATCATTTATATTAACCTTTTTATATGGATTTTGGTGCTTATGTAGATTATCTTGCTTAGTCTTCAAAGCAGCCATATCTTTTAGGTGATATTCTTATCATTTCTTTGCTGATGTTGTGATAAACTTAGGCACTGAGGTATTATAAACTCACAGCTGAAAGCTCATTTTCAATATCTAAAAGTCTGGCAACAGAGCCTGTGTTCTTAATTTCAACAGGATATCACTTCCTGTGTTATGCATACCTTTTAGAACCTACTTCTTCACTGAGTTAATATTATTTTCTGTAATTTCATATGGATTCATTATAAATGAAGCTATAGTATGTCACTATTTTGTAGACCATATGTTTCACCTGTTGTCTAATGTGAGATAATTAGGTTTTTAATTTTTGGTTATCAGAAATTATTCTCTGATGAGCATCCTTATACACATACCTTGTATACGTATACAGTTATTTCCTTCAAAAATTTCCTAGAAATTGAATTTTGTAGACAAATCAGACTTTATTAAGTGCGAGCAATATGCTAGATCCAGAAATTGTAGTATTTGAGGTCAATCACCAAGAAGACATAGTTGCTTCCTTTAAAATGCTTTTTACCTAAAAAGAGTTAAAATCTGAATAGAAATAAGTGTAAGGCCGTGAGTGATGAAGACTATTGAAGGTATTTATGTGACTTATCTTGTGAATTTATAGGAAAGACACATCAGTTTGTCTATAGCAAGAGTCAGAATATGAGCAAAATCTACCATCTCTGTGGAGCATTTATGCTAATGTGACTTTTACACTTAGTTTTCCTTTTAATTTTCTTAGATGCAAAGTGCAACTATCAGGATACCGTAATTCAGAAGCTGTTTGAGGGATGTCATGGCTTAGCTGACAGGTTCAGAAACCATAAATTCCTCTGTTACGACCTGAAACAAAGCAGTGTTGAGATCATTATCAATTCATACAAGATGTTACACAGAAACTGCTTCCTGCTTTTTCCAGGTAGAGCCCCATCATACCTGGGAAGAAGTGATAAAGTGAGTTCAGATAGTGGGATACAAAGGAAACAAGCAAAAGAAAAGCCATTCAGTAAAAAAATCTAGGTTTAGATAACAAAGACCTTTCTTGAAAATCCTCCTTTTTGGACAGCATCTTTCTATTAACAAAAGAAAAAATACATATATATTTCAAGTTAACTATGGTCATTTGTTAGAGTAATTAAGAAATAAGCTTTACAAAGACAAATTAAATAAAAATAAAAATATAAGCACTATTATTAGATGGTCAGATAACCTTCCAGACTTTTTTATCCACTGATTTCAATGGTGTATCTCTGCTACTTTTTCTCTATATTGATTAATATATTCATAAATTCATAAAAAATAATTTTATTGGTCCACCTAATTATTCTATTGACAATGTGTCTGTAGTATTTCCCATATCCTTACATACTTCACATTTGATGTTTACTTTGTATTGTAGTACAATGATGGTTTGTCATATATTTAACTCGTAAGCTTTGCTAGACTTAAAGTACTGAACACTAGCCCTCCATTTCCATTTTAACCATCTTCACCCAAAGCCACAAAAGAGGTACTCACTAGGATGATGTGGGTTCTTTTCAGCCTTAGAAGATGGGAATACAAGGGAGAGAGCTGCTGAGAGGAAGACTGCACTGCCCATTCTTAGGTCTACATCCGCCTCACGAAAATAATGCGGTGGCCAGAGAACAGCCTGCTGACACACACGGGTGTAGCTTCAATGCAGAAATGGCTGTGTTCTGTGACCTTGTTCATCAGAGACCCCTGGGATTTGGGAGAGGAAGTGGATTTATCTGGAATCCTAACCTACCCAAATTATGTGTGATGGGAAATAGTTTGGAATCTGGGATGGAAGATCCTAATGTTAATTTATGTCCTGTTGGGATTACTGAGGCAAAACTGGTCTCAAGGTCTTTGTCTTCTCCCAGCTCTGGCTTTCTGGATCTGTGCTTTTCTGTTAGAGGAACGCTGAGGACTGATCCGCTCGTCTAAAACCATGGCCCACATAAGTGGATGTTTCTCTCCTTCTTGAAATATATGTGACTTTTTAGATCATGTAAGTATTTTTTCCAGTTTTTATAGCATTTACTACCAAGAGAGGCCCCACACATAACCTGCTTCACAGCTTTTGTTCCAGTGAAATGTGACACCACGTTACCCAGTGTCCTCTCTGTGTGGCATGTTCTAAACTAGTATTCATGTTATTACTGAGAAGTCATTCAACATGTGTTAAGTACCCATTCTTTTATCATGTGCAATGATGTAGCAGTGAAGGAGATAAGTCTTTTGAAGTAAAGACTTATGTGAGTCAGGTCTGTAGTTTGGTGAGATGGAGACAATGGTTGTATTCAACCATCCATGAGAAGACTTTGATATTTTCCAGACTTGAGATTTCTGGGTAAATAAGATAGAAATCATGTATTGAATGACTTAAATCTCACTGTAGAGTAAACTCTCACAGTTTGTGTCAACTAGTATATGACTCAAGTTTGCAAACTTGGAGTTTGTGGATCTTGGCAAAATATGAAGACTTCTATTATTGAATGGGGCCTATTCAATTTGGGTGAGATCTACATAATTCATCATTCTTCCTCAGAATTCTTTAACTCATTGTATTAGTTGTCTACTGCTGCGTAACAGATTACCCCTACACTTAAAAGCTTAAAAGAAGTAAACATTTATCTCACAGTTTCAGTGTCCCAGAAATGTGGACATGGCTGAGCTTGGCTCTCTTGCCCTCTTACAAAGCTGGGAGGGGTCTTTTACAAGGTCATCAAAATGGTGGTCAAGGTTGCTGTCATCTTAGGCCAACGTTGGGTATATCTTCTTCCAAGCTCCCTCAGATGATTTTTTGACTGGATCCAGATACTTATGGGCTGATGATTTTTTTACTGGATCCAGTTACTTATGGGCTGTAGACTGGAGGCCATTCATGGTTGAGCAAGTGAGACATCAAAAGAGGGCAAGAAGTATGGAAATCATGGTCTTTTGATGTCTGCTATCAGAAGTAACATTTCATTATGTTGGCAATAATCTGTATATTCAAAGCAGGTTACTCAGTTCAGCCCACATACATGTGAAGGAGAATGTGCATAAATACCAGAAGATGATCATTGGCAATCTAAGTAGAAGCTGCCTCCCACATTCAGCATGAGTCAACTGCTCAGTGACATGGTAAATGGCAACAAAAAAACTTTGTCATCATGAATAGGTGAACACAGATTCACAGAATTGGAGAAGTTACAGATGTGCATTCTTCTTATATAATATATATAATCTTATATAAATGATTAAGTCTAATATGTACATAAAATATAATGCCATGTGCTAAAAAGAATGTGGATTTGTCAAAACTAGAAAAAATACTTAGTGTTAACATCTGGCATAATGAACTATTTAATGCTGAGGGAATTCTTAATTTTATATAACCCTATTGTCCAAAACTGAGACTTTGTACTATACTACATTACGTGTATGTAATATATATATATATAACATGTATGTTACACATTACTAAAGTCCAAAAATACCTGATTAAATTTTCTGTTTAAAAAGCAAAATTTTTCCTCAACAGTTCATTTTTTCTGACAAGTATACCAATCAGGCATTATGCTTGAATTCACTGTTTAATTTAGTAGTTAAATATTATTTAATCTATTCTCAAACAGTTCAGATATTTAAGTGATGCCAGAAAATTTTGACTGTTCTAGAAGGCTTCTTCAAAAATATGTATATGTTTTGCTGCAGTCCCCTCCCATATTACAGATTTTTAGCCTACATACTTGCTTTGTTGCATTCTTCCTGCAGTGCAGTTCTTTTCTCCTCTCCTTCCATCTTCAAAATATTCCTCTAATTTTTCCCAGTAATCCATGGGTTTGCCGTTTCAGAGATCCATAACACTCGGGGATGTGGCCACAGACTTCTCTCAGCAGGAGTGGGAGTATCTCGACCCTGTTCAGAAGGCTTTGTACTGGGATGTGATGATGGAGAACTATGGTAACTTGGTTTCATTGGGTATGTTTATCAGCCTCAAATGATTTAGAATAATTTAGAATTTGCTCTTTAAAAAATATTTTTTTCCCACCATGATTTTCAAGGCTGCTTTTAGGAAACTAGTGTTCTGTGTTCTTTTCCCAAATAAATGGTTTGAGCTTTGTCAGGTCGGAAACCGTAACTTCATTAAACATCTTCATCTTCCCTGTCCTCGATGACATTCATAACTCCTATGGTCTTACATTATGGTTACCTTTCTTCCTTTATGAAATAGGGTGTAGCTTAGAATTCTCTGATATTTATTATATAACCATTGTCAAGGATCTAGGCTTTCTTTCTATGTATGCTCAGAATTTCTATAAATATTTCGTTTTATTATCTGATCCACTTGCAGGCTGATCAGCTTGACATAGGGTCCTGAATTGTTCTAATTGCTCTAAAAGAGCTTCTACAATTTATTGGTGGATTAGGTAAATGGAATTCATTGAAAACTGAGGCATACACATGGTATTTTGTAAGAAATTTTTTCTATTTTGTGGTTGAAAGTTGTAATCTGTGAACATCACATTTAAAATGGAATGACTATCCTATAGAAAGCTCTTCTGGTATGCACTTTTCATGAAACAGTAATATCAGTAATATTGTTAATAGCTGACATTGTGTTCAGTATGTATTAAGCAATACTCTAAGCACTTTACGTATATATATATATATATTAACATCCCTATTCCCATTTTACAAGTGAGAATACTGAGGCACTGCAAGTTTAAGTGAATTTCCCGAGTTCAAATACAACTGGAAGGTGGCAAAGGCAGGAATTGAACCAAGGTTTCAAATTTGTATTTGCAACTATGGTATTATACATACTGTCAAGAAAAAAAAAGGATATATGAGTGGTATATAAAAAACAAAACACCTTACCCTACTTGATTTCTTCTTTAGTTCCCTTACCCTCTCTTCTAAGAAACCTTACTCAATTTCATTTTGACTTTTAGTTTATTATTATTACAATTTTAACTAAGCAGTAGTTTGTTCTACAGCAGGTGCCATTTTTTTCTTTGTAAGCAGACCAGTCCATTTCTAAGCCAGATGTAATTACGTTATTGGAGCAAGGAAAAGACTGCTGGATGGTTGTGAGGGAAGAAACAAGAAGATGGTATACAGGTAAGTATGAACAAGTCCAGCTAGGGAAGCACATCTGTGTAGATTAAAGCTCAGTGGTTAAGGAGGGGACACACACTTGAAATGTTGTTTGGAAAGCTCCGTTCACATTGGAGAAAATACTTATGATCTAGAGGGGGAGTCAATACTCTCTGTATGAGCTACCCAGTGAATTTCATCTTCACTTCATAAACCACCTTCTTTCTTTCTTCTCATATTTTCCTCCCTCTTCAGTGATGGGCAATGTCCTTCTTTCTTGTGCGCCATTTTATTTGTATTTTAGATTTAAATGCTTGCCAGCCCTCTTGTGCACTTAGATTTATATATATGGCTTCACTGACTGAAAATATATTCATTCCTATATCTGGCTAATAAAATGGAGTTTATAGAATATTAGGGAAGACACAAAATAAACATAATAAACAGATAAGTAGATCAATAGCATCCCATAGTGAAATGGAGTATGAAGGAAACTAACCAAGCTCAGGGCAAATTTAGGTAAATTAAGATGGTTAGGAACTCTTTTCTGAGGAGATATTTGAACTGAGGGTAAGGGCCCAGGCCATTTGAGTATGTGAGGGAGAGCCTTCCAAAAAGAGTAAACAACAGATCTAAAGCTGAAAGGGAATGAGTGCTATGTGTTTGGGAGCAGCAAGTAGGTAAGAGTTATTGAGGGGTTACTAACAAAACATGAAATCAGTATGTTATGGGAGATCCAATTATACAAGGTGCTGTTTGATTCATTAAGAATTATAGTTGTTTTCTAGGAACATGATCTGATTAAATTTTTAAAAATTAATTTTTAAAAATTAAACCTTTTTCTTAAGACTTATACAAAAGTCTAGATAAAATAAGTATTTTACCTAGATTGATTGATTATTGGTTATTCACATTCTCTCATGTACTTTACATGTATTTCTTAATTTTTGTTAAAAAAATATTTGTCCTAGTATTAATCTATTGGATTTTTTTAGATCTTTCTAGGTTAATCTTATGAAATTATTTTTTCTTTTATCTCTACTATTTTCCTGAGCTCTACCACTTTGTTTCTGAGTCTAATTCTGATATATGTTTCTCATTTCTTATAGCATTTTCTTTCTTTTTTTTTAAATTATAAAATGTATGTAACAGTGGTTTAACAGCCCTCTCCCCCTCCCCCCTGCCCCTGCCTACTCCCCTTCTCCTTGGTAACCACCAGTCAATTCCCAGTGTCTGAGTCTAATGCTGTTTTGTTCCTTCTATTTGCTTTGTTTTTATATTCCAAAAATAAGTGAAATCATATGGTATTTGTCTTTCTCTGCCTCCTTACAGTATTTTCTTAAAATCACTTATAAGAATACTTACTATAGGTAAAAAAAAAAAAATACTTACTATTTTAAGATGGCAATACTACCCCAGATTCCGTCAGTTTATTTGCAGAAATTGACATCCTGATCATGAAATTCATGTGGAGATGCAAGGGATCCAGACTATACAAAAATCCTGAAAAAGGAGAAAGTGAGGTTCACACTTTCCAATTTCACTGTTACATACCAAAACTTATGGGGTTCATTGAAATCAGTGCTAAGAAGGAATTTTATAGCTGTAAATGCTTACATTAGAAAGAAATTTCAGATCAACAATCTAACTTAACACCTCAGAGAACTAGAAGACTGAACTAAACCCAAAGATAGCAAGAGGAAGAAAGTAATATAAAGAATAGAGCAGAAAGAAACAAAATAGTGAATAGAAAAACAATAGAGAAAACCAATGAAACCAAGAGTTGGTTCTTCAGAAAGATCAACCAAAGTGAGAAAAGTTTAGCTAGATTGACTAAGAAAAAAGAAGACTCAACTAAAATCAGAAATGAAAGGGGGTACTATGAATACATATATTCAAACAAACTGGGTAAACTAGATGAAATTTTGAAAACAACCTACCAATTCTGAATCATGAAGAAATAGAAAATCTAAACAGACTTAAAACTAGTAAAGAGATTTAATCAATAATCAAAACCTGGCAGAAAAGTAGCCTTGGATCTAGTGGTTTCACTGGTGAATTCTACTTAAACATTTAAGGAATAACACCAATAATTCCCCTCAAACTCTTCCAGAAAACTGAAGAGGAAGGAACACTCCCAAACTTACTCTGTTAGGCCAGCATTACCAAAGGCAGACATAGTACAAAACAGAACTACAGATCAGTATTTCTGATGCAAATTGAGGCAAAAATCCTCAAGAAAATACTAGCAAATTCAACAGCGCATGAAAGGTATTATACAACATGACCAACTGGAATTTGTTTCTGGAATGAAAGGATGGTGTAATGTATAAAAACTAAGCAATGTAATATGCCACATTAACAGAACAAAGGGAAAAATAAACTTAGCAATCTCAACTGATGCAGGAAAGCATTTGACAAAATTCAATATCTTTTCATAATAAAAGCACTGAAGAAACTAGGAATAGAAGGAAACTATCTCACCGTAACAAGATCATACATGAAAGTCCATAGCCAACATACTTAGAGGTGAAAGACTGAAAGCACTGGTTTTGCCATATCCCATAAGTTTTGGCATGTTGTGTTTTTGTCTTCATTTGTCTTAAGATTTATTATCTAATTTCCATTGTAATTTCTTTCTGACCCACTGGTTATTTAAGTATGTTGTTTAATTACCACTTACTTGTGTATTTTCTAGTTTTCCTTCTGTTGATTTCTAATTTCATTCTTGTGTGATTGGAGGAGATGCTCTGCATGATTTCAGTCTTTTAAAATGTATTAATTCTTGTTTTGTGGTCTAGTCTATGTGGAGAATGTTCCATGTACTTTTGAGAAAAATGTATATTGTGGGAAGTGTTCCCTGTATGGCTCTTAGGCCTGGTTTGTCTAGCATGGTGTTCAAGTCCTTTTGTTTCCTTATTTATCTTGCCAGGTTGGTCTATCCACTATAGAAAGTAGTTTAGTGAAGTCTCCTATTTTTATTGTATTGCTCTCTATTTGTCCCTGTAAATCTGTCAGTGTTTCCATTGATTTTTTTCATATCATGCTTTGATTCCCTTCTCATCTCTTCTTGTGTATATTCTATAATTATTTTCTTGTAGTTACCATTGTTATTACATAAAACATCTTAAAATTATAACAGTATTTTAAATTGATAGAAACTTAACTTTAATCACATATACTCTATTAATTTATAACTCTATCATCCCCCTTTATATTATTGATCACATAAATTACATTTTCATATATTGTGTAACCATTAACATTGATAGTGGTGTTTACTTTTAGGATTTTGTCTTTTAGATTCTATACTAGAATTTAAAGTAGATTTAAACACCAGAATTACAAAAATAGAGGATTCTGTATTTGGTCATGTATTTACCTTTATTGGAGAGCTTTATACTTTTGTAGGGTTTATGTGGCTTCTAATGTCCTTTCATTTTTAACTCAAAGGACTCCCTTTAGTATTTCCTGTTGGATAGGTCTGATAGTAATGAGTTCCTTCATTTTGTTTACCTAGGAAGGTATTGATTTCTCCTTCATTTTTGAAGGATACTTTTTTCTAGATACAGTATTCTTGGTTGACAGGAATTTTTTTTTCTTTCAGCATTTTGACTATATTATTCCCACTCCCTGCTGGTCTGCAAAGATTTTTGCTGAGGAATACACTGATATTATGGATGTCCACTTGTATGTAACAAGTTGGTTTTCTCTTTCTACTTTCAAGATTTTCTATGAGTTTTGACAGTTTCATTATAATGTGTCTTGATGTGGGTCTCTTGAATTTTCCTAGTCAAAGTTCACTGAGCTACTTGAATTTGTATATCCATTTCTTTCCTCAGATTTGGGAAATTTTCAGCCATTATTTCTTTAAATAAACTCTCTGCCTCATTCTCTCTTCTTCTGGAATTCCCACAATGTGTATATTTGTCATCTTGATATTCTCACAGGGTCCCCTTAGGCCTTCTTTACTTCATTCTTTTCTCTTTTTTTGCTCCTCTGACTTGATCATTTCAAATGACTTTCTTCACGTTTGCTTATTTTTTGTTCTGCCTGATCATGTCTGCTATTGAACACCTTTATCTTGAAACATCTATCAAGTTTAGTAACTTTCCTCTGTCATTTCCATTCTACTATAAGCTCATCGAGCAATAGTGCATTTTTCAAGTCTGTTATTGTATTTTTCAGCTCTCCAATGTGTTCGGATGTTTCTTATCATTTCTGTCTCTGTTGATATTCTCATTTTCTTCATGCATTGTCTTCCTGATTTCACTTAGTTGTCTGTCTGTGATCTTGTTTAGCTCACTTAGCATCTTTAAGACAGTGTCTTTAAATTCTTTTTCAGGAACTTCATAGATCTGCTTTTCTTTAGAGTCAGTTTCTGGAGCTTCGTTTTAATACTTTACTGGGCTTTGTCTCCCTGTTTCTGTTATGCCTTGTGATCTTTCATTGAGATTGGCTTTGAGAAAATTGCCACCTTTCCTAGTGCTTATGGACTGGATTTGTGCAGGGGAAGACCTTCACTAGTCAGCTCAGCTAGGTGTTCTCAATCCTTTCAAACCTTTTTTGGGGATGCATTTTCTTAGGGATTGTGTTATGCTTTTATTCTAATATAAATGTCTGCTTTTAACTGTCTTAATTTCCTGTTTCTTCTGCAGAGCTGTTTCTGTTATATTCCTTTACCCTTAATCTTTTGCTTCTCCTGGCACTTGCCTGTGGAAATGCATATTCTCTGCTACTGTAGCCCACTGTTGTGTTCACCATTGTTTTCAGTGGCTCCCAACCTTATGTACTACCATTCTCAGCAGAACCCAAAGCCAGGTAAGACAGAGATCAGTTCCTTGGGCAGCCCCCAGATATGCCAGTGTTGGATAGAAGTTCTACTTTTTTTCCTGTCTTGAAGGAGGTGCCAGAAATTGGGAGGAGGTATTCTCCCTATCACACCTCATTATACTGACAGTAAGAGGGGCCAGGGCAAGCAAACTGTGACCAACTCTTACCCTTTTGGGCCATCTGTTCTCTTGTTTATGTGCTACCTGGGTGCTGTAGCCCCTTAACTAGTGTTCAGAGTTCTCATAAAGTATTTTGGTACATACATTGCTGTTAATTCAGTCTCTCTTGTGGAGAGTGAGAAGTTGTGTCTTCTTAATCTTCCATCTTCCTACTGTCCTACACCCTTTGTTTTAGTTCTTCTATTTTATATTTCCTGTCTTATGCTGGAATATTTAAATTATTTTTAGTGTTCATTTTAATTTATTTCCTGGCATTTTGGCTGATTCTCTTTGAATATGTTTTAATGTATGTTATAGGGGTTACAACATACAATATGCCTAAGCTTTCACAGTCTAAATAGTTAACATTATAACATTTCTTATAACATGAAGAAATCTTACATCTTCAATACTCCTTACATTATGATTGTCTTTATGTTATTATAATCATCATGTTCATCATGTTAACAGCATAAATTGAAAATACTTCCAGCGTTACAAACTTTGCTTTCAACAATCATACATATCTGAAAGAACTTAAGAGGGTAATAAATGATCTTATATATTTACCTACATACTGACCTTTCATGATGTCTTTTCTTCATTCCTGAAGATTGAGGGTTCTTTTGTATCATTTTCCATCAGCTTAACTTCCTTTAGTAGTTTTGTTGTTTACGGCAGTTGTTTGCCTCAGTCTCTGTCTCCTTTCCTTTTCAGATTCTAATCACATCTTTTGATATATTACCACAGGTCCCTGATGCTCTATTATAAATTTTTAAACTATGTTATCTATGAATTTCAACTTGAATGATTTCTGTACACCTATCAAGTTTACGAACTCTTTACTCTATCATTTCCATTCAGCTATAAGCTCATTCAGTAATTTAGACATTATATATTTCAGTCCTACAACTTTTATTTATTCTTTGTGTTGTTTCTTTTTCTCTGGTTTTCTTTTCAGTAGTTTTAAATGTATGGGTTTTTAATTTTTTTTAATCTCTTAAGAGTATAAAATAGCAGAATAGCTGCTATTATACTTTTGTCTGATAAGTATTTACAACATCTAGATTGTCCCCAGAGTTAGCATCTGTGGCTTCTTTTTCCCTTTGAGAAGGGAATCACATATTTTTGTTGTTTTTATGATGAATGATTTTCAGTTGTATTGTGGACATTGTGAGCACACATGTGTTGATTCTGTTGTTCTTCTGGAGAATATTGTTATATTTACATATTGTTATTTTTATTTTTAACAAGTAATCAAATCAGTCAAATTTAGACTATATGTTCTGTCCTGCTGTTTGTGGGCAGTGGCTTAGTTCTCAGTTGGTACACTGGTTTGTGTCCTCACGTGTGATTCATGTTTAGGCTGCAATTTGTACTGTTTCATACCCAAATTACGGATATCTCTTTTTCCAAGTATTTTCCCTCTAGGGTTCCTCCCTATTTCTCAAGTTTGGTAGTGTTCATCACCACAATTCTTATAGCAAGAAATATATTGGGACTTTTGCAGCCCATTTTTGCCCCGGTATAACTGGGGCCCACCCATGTGGCAAGGCTGTGAATAATAGAGAAAATAGCAAGAAACTTTACACGGTATAGTCACTTTTTAAAGTTTTCATTCTCCTCCATAATATTCCTCTTTGTTAAATTTACTCACCTTAGATGTTTTATTTTTTATTTTCTATTAGCCATTTTTAATTGCTATCAGAGAAGGAGATAGACTATAAGGGGTGCCATATCTCTAACACAAAATGGAATGGTGTATTTTTTCCCTACATATATGTATAACAGAAACAGTATTATGCACAGCAGTAATAGTAGTGTATCTTTATTGGGGAACACAGACCCGATTCCAGTGTGTGTAAATATGTGGGAGAGGGTCTTCGCACACATACTTACACCAAGCAATTCTCAAACACTAACCAGGTGTCCAAGAACTCAACTCAATTCTGAAGCTATTTGCTCAGATATGGCACCAGATTCCCCATGTTAGGATTTCTGTCCTGCATGATTGCCCTCCACCCCCAACTCCAGACGCCAGTCCCAAGTTCCAGGCAGGTAACCTGTGCTTCTGACCTACTGACTGCAGATTGGAAGTTCTCACAACCTCCTCCTTAGGTTCAATTAATTTGTGAAAGTGGCTCACAGAACTCAAGAAAGCACTTACCAGTTTAATAAAGGATACAAGTTAGCAGCCAGATGCAGAGAGACATAGGGCAAGATCTCAAATAAGGGAGCTTCTATCTTCGTGGAGCTTGGGGCCTGGTTCAGTGGCATGTGGAGGCATTCTGGTTCCCCAAGCGTAGAAACTCTCTCCAAGAAGCAGGAACCAACCAACCAGAGCAGGCAGAGCAGAGAGAAAATGAGCTCTTCTCACATGTTTTGTGAGACCTTCATTACATAATCATGATTGACTAAATTATTGGCCATTGGCTGATCTAACCTCCAACACCTGCCCTTGGGTAGAATCTAAAAGTCTCTCATTAACATGACAAAACAGCTGTTTTACCTTTAAGGTCATATGAATGACCAAGTATGTATTTCTTATAACTTGTTATATCACAAGGGGTTTACACCACTGTGATGGAATTAGAACTTCCATTAAGGAGTTCATTACATTAACGGTGAAAATGGTTTTTCATTTTGTTTCTCATATCATTCTGGACTCATTGCTAGTTTTTTTTTTTTTTGCATCTATCATTTTTATGCTACTATTTTTACAGATTTGGCCAGTCACACCTCTCTAAGTCTTTGATGTCTTCATTTCTTTTTGGGATAAGATTTCTATTCTTACCTTTCTTGCCCCTTCTGAGTTGTTTCTTTATTCAACTATCCTGCATCCATATAGTGGACATGATATTTAGAAAATATAATTTACGAGTTAAAGAGTGCTCATAGCTTCTCTGACATCTTTTCTATTTTTTCTATGGCAATCAGTTTGTTTAAGCTTCCTTGTTGTCTTTTTCGATGAATTTTTCTATAAAATTATTCCATTTAAATTGTAAAAAATAATGATACCAAGCAATTCTCAAACACTAACCAGGTGTCCAAGAACTCAACTCAATTCTGAAGCTATTTGCTCAGATATGGCACCAGATTCCCCATGTTAGGTCACTAACCAGGTGTCCAAGAACTCAACTCAATTCTGAAGCTATTTGCTCAGATATGGCACCAGATTCCCCATGTTAGGATTTCTGTCCTGCATGACTGCCCTCCACCCCAATGCTCCAAATGCTCAGAATTTTATAAGACTTTTGGTAGGGTGTATACCTAGTACCTGTTCAAAATTATAATATCAATTAAATCCATTTTTCTTTTGCATTTCCCCTTAATCATTTATTTTTGTTTTTATTCCTTTTCAATTGGGTTAGCTAATGTTTTACTTCTTGATTTTTAAAGCACCAGCTCTTTAACACCACGCTTTTCTAACTTACTACATTTTGCTGTTACCTTCAGTTGTTTTTTGTTTTTATTTTCTAAGTTTTGGAATTGGTTCCTTGATTTGTTTACTTCTTCCATTTTTATTGAAATAATTACTTAAGTCTTTGAGTTCTCTGAATGCTGAAACTGAACTCCCAGGGTTAGGATATATACTTATTTTCTCTATTGTGATTTACTAGAGATCTTCACTTTTAGTTTTTAATTTTCATTTTTACCCAGCATTTATTCTGGAGAGAACATTTCCATTTTCTGGTATTTTTTTGGTTTTCTGATACTGATATTAATTTCTGTTGTTACTTATTTTGGGAGAAAGAGTATTTGTATTATCTCAGAGTTTGACACATAGCACACTGTACTCACAAGATATTTCTTCTCCCCCAGTCTCACTCCACTCTTTAAGCACTTTCAAATTTCTTCAAGATATTCCTTCATATTGGCTGGTTATGCTACAGGTCACATCCATCAAAACTTTTTCACATACTTCCTTCAGACTCTTCCTCAAACTCTTTCACTGTATAGTTCAGTTTCCCTTGTGTTTCTCACAGTCCCCAAATGCTCAGAATTTTATAAGACTTTTGGTAGGGTGTATACCTAGTACCTGTTTGAAAATTCACTGACAGACTTAAAGGAATTAACCAAAGTGGTTGACCTTCATTAAAAGGGAAAGAGGACCTGAGAAAAGATATGGAGGAAAAAAACATATGAAATATCTGTAGAATGGGTAATTAATAGAAAAGTTCAGTGAAGTTAAGTAAATAAGAACACATTTTATTTGATCTGGGAGCAAATAAATATACATGTAGCTGTGCATTGGAGGGAATAAACCACAGTATCTGTATTTTTAAGGGGAAATGTAAATGGAGAATGATCAAATATGAATAGGTGCATTTAATATATTTATATTTTATAAGGAACCTGATACAGGAATGAGTACATTGAATCATAGTAAAGTGTGATAAATGAGTTATGGAGACAGTATCAGTAACTTGCAAACTGTGTGCTGATTTTAGAGTTCTCTATTAATCTCTAATGGGTGATATTTTTAATTTAAAAAAATCTATAAAGCATTCACATTTTTTGTCCAGTAAAATAAAATGTTTTTCTCATTTCTTTTAGATTTGAAGTCAAGATATGAAATAATCAGCTATGAAAAAGTACATACTTATAAAAAACATTCATCTCTTACTCTTGATCAGAAAATTCCTAACAGAGAGAAGCCCTATGAATGTGATGAATGTGGGAAGGCCTTTAGTCGACATACAGACCTTACAGTACATCAGAGAATTCATACTGGTGAGAAACCTTATGAATGTAAACAATGTGGAAAGGCCTTTAATCGTGCATCCAACCTTTTGCAACATCAGAGAATTCATACTGGTGAAAAACCCTATAAATGTGAGGAATGTGGAAAGACCTATAGTCGTAGGATTGACTTAATCGTTCATCAGAGGAATCTTACAGGTGAGAAACCCTATGAATGTGAAGAATGTGGGAAGGCTTTTAGTCGTGCCTCACATCTTACTCAACATGGAAGAGTTCATTCTGGTGAGAAATCCTATGTATGTAATGAATGCGGGAAGGCCTTTAGTCAAGGCGGAAGACTTAGAATATATCATAGAATTCACACTGGTGAGAAACCATATAAATGTAAGGAGTGTGGGAAGGCCTTTAGTCAAGCCTCTCACCTTACGCAACATGACAGAATTCATACTGGTGAAAAACCATATGAATGCCATGAATGTGGAATGGCCTTTATTCGTGGTATAGATCTTAGAGTACATCATAGAATTCATACTGGGGAAAAACCCTACAAATGTAAGGAATGTGGGAAGGCCTTTACTCGTGCCTCAAATCTTGTACAATATGAGAGAGTTCATACTGGGGAGAAGCCATATGAATGTAAGGAATGTGGGATGACATTTAGTCATGGCCGTCAACTCATTTCACATCAGAGAATGCATATTGGTGTGAAACCTTATGAATGTAACAAATGTGGGAAGGCCTTTAGTCATACTTCAGCTCTTATTCAACATGAGAGAATTCATACTGGTGAGAAACCCTATAAATGTAAAGAATGTGGGAAAGCCTTCAGTCACACCTCAAACCTTGTTAGGCATGAGAGAATTCATACCGGTGAGAAACCATAAGAGTGTAAGAGATGTTGGAAGGCCTTTAGTCATGTTGAAAGCCTTAGATTGCATTATAGAATTTACACTGGTGAGAAACCCCATGAATGTAAAGAGTGTGGGAAGGCTTTTAGTAGTGACCGTCAACTAATTGTACATCATAGATTTCATACTGGTGAGAAACCTTATGAATGTAAGGAATGTGGGAAGGCCTTTAGTGTGTGTGGACGACTTACTCAACATCAGAGTATTCACAGTGGTGAGAAACCTTTTGAATGTAACAAAGGCAGGAAATCCTTTAGGCTCCATTGAAGTCTTAAAGTACATAAGAGAATTCATACTCGAGAGAAGCCTTATGAATGTAAGGACTATGAAAAGCCATATATATGCAGTGGATAACGTACAGTACATCAGTGGATTTATAACACTGAGAAACAATTTGAATGAAAGGAATATAGGAATGCTTTTATATGTGATTCAGTGCTTATAAAGTATTAATTAATTTATACTGGTGAAAACCCCTGGGAATGTAAATAATGTCCCAGATTTTTTGGTTATGATCTAAATGTTCAGATTCAGAAATTTGTAATGTATTTTAATAAAAAAAGGAAAGTCTTTACTAGTACTTACTAATGGATTATCAGAATATTCATAATGGAGAAAAATTCAGAGAATGTGGAAATGCCCCCCCCCTTTTTTTGCTTTGTTTATAAAAGCTCTCCAGCCCTAGTAAATTATTGTTAAATTTGAGAAGACTTATATCACAGAAAAACCCTGTTGACCTAACATGTACAAAAACCATCATGATGGCCATTCACTTCTTTACAGCCATTATGACATTGAGCAAGATATCCTGTGGAAGTCATTTGTGTATGGGGACAATAGTACCTATATTATAGTGCTGTTACTGGAATGTAGAAAATTTGGAAGCTATCTTAAACATAGTCTCTGTTCAGTAAGTATTAGGTAATACTTTACTATTGTTATTTGTACTACTATTAGTGAATTATTAAGAGGTCAAGTCCATATGCATGTAATGAAGTTAGAAAAGCTTCATGTAGTTAGTGGTGACTTTGAGTTTAAAAATTTTTTTTTCTGGATAAAATCCAGTAGAATGTAAAAATCACAAGAGGATTTAAAAATGGTTGCAACAGAGGCTCTGTGGCTCACAAAACCTAAAAATATTTACTCTCTGGTTCTTTATGTAAAAACAGCAATTCTAGTTTTAAGAACTATATCCCCATAATTTTTTCATTACTTTGGATTTTTGAAGAGTACAGGAAAGTTGTCTCACCAACTGTCCCACATTCTGGATTTTTGAAATTGTTTCCTTGTGGGTCATTTATCCTGTTCTTCTACCCCTCATAGTTCCAGTAGATAAGTTACATGAAGAGGTTTCATCAAGTTGATGTTGTGTAAGTTAAAAAGCATATCATGTTGAGTTTTTTACTATTAGTGATGCTAAATGTTATCACTGGTTTACAGTGTTGACTGCTAAATCTCTCCATCATAGAGATCCATTTTTTAATAATCTGCATGGTAATACCTTGTCATCTCCTTTTTCAAATTGGTAATGTCATGGATAAGTCCAGAATTAAACAGAAAATTAAAATTGGAATTAGGACCTATTGAGAAAGGAATCATAATGAAATACAGCACATTCCAGAGCCTTTGGTGGTTGCCATTCTTCTACTCGTTGGAAAATTTAATACTCTTGGAGTGCATGTAGGAGACTAAAAATGAGAATGAAAACTTTATTTCTGCTCACTCCTTTATCCCCAGAATCTGTTCAATGCTTGTCACTTAGTAAGTATTGACAAAATTGATAAAATAATAAGAATTTGACATACAAAGCTAGAAATATATAACAGTGTAAGGCCTAGCCAATGTAAGGAAACAATACAACTAAAATTATTAGAGCTTATTGGTTATTAATCAAAATATTACTCTAAAAGTTCCAGGTTGTTTCTGTGAAAAGCAATGAATACTTCTAGAAGTAGAGTTTAGTGATTAAGAAATAAAACAGTAATCCTGAAGCAATGCTTTTTTAACTTAAAACTTTTTCTTTTAAAAGTATATTAATATCAAATAGATTGCAAATCTGGTCAAGAAAAAATAATAATTACACTGTAGCATCATTAATATCATATCAACCAAAGGAATAGAGACCTTATGCTAAAGAACATTTTAGAATGTTATCATGGAACCCCATTCTTACTGCCTATTAACATCTCAGAAATGTTGCCAAATCCAAAAGTGACTCTAAGGTTGGAATTACCGGTCATTATTTCATTTTGTTAATGAAGATTGGGTGGCAGACGGCTCATATCATCATCTGCAATTAGCTTCCTTTTTGTGAGTGTAAGCCTGCTATTTTTCTACAAAATGAAGTATCTTTTAGCCCAGTCTTCATGTAAATACACCTCAATGAATTTAAATTTTGACTTTGACCATTGTATAATTATTGGCAGTTTATCGTGGTTACAAAAACAGTGAATACCTTAGCTCCTGTATGTGAGCCACAAACTCTATAATTACTCAGGTATAGGTTGTATACATTTTCAGCTTTGGTACATATTGCTAACTTGTATATTTTTGTAACATCTATCAACTCAGAGGTGAATTAAGTGTCCTATATTTCTCCTTCAAGTATGTGGTTTAGTTTTTAATTTTCTAATTACTAGTGAGTTGAATATTTTTCACATTTTTATTGGCCAGCCATGTTACTTTAGATTTTCCTAGCTCTGTTATTTGCCCATTTATTCATTTTTTTCCTTGTTATTTATAGGTGCTTTAAAAAAATACTCAGTATCGAAATCGTTTTTTTACAGATTGATGCCGATTTATGCTGTTTTACTGTTTCACTACCTCCCCATATATAAACATAAAATTCCAATACAGTAAGTTTTCAGTCTTACCAAATATTCTTATTTCTATTCACAATTTTATTAGACTATATAGTTTTTTAAATAATCTGTCAAATTATCTGCACGTCAATGAAAATTCTTTTTTAAATATTTATATAGATTATTTCTTTACTTTTATTGAAATAGTTTTGGTTATGTTATATATTGGTAGTTATGATAGCATTATGATTATCCTTAATAAGCTATACTTCTATGTCCATTTGTTGTAGATGGGGAACCCAGTATCATTCAGTCATTTATCATCTGATAGTTAACACCATTGTCCCATACAAGCTTAAATTTTAGAATTAAATATAACACAAGGCAGAATAACTTGAGTCTCTGTCTTTCAGGCTTTCAGGCTTTTTCTCTAACCTAATGGAAGTTATATTAACTTTTCATGGTTAAGCTATTGCTTGCCTTTGGTTATGGGTAAATATTCTGTATTGTATTTAAGTAATTTCCTACATTAGAGATGCTTCATCTTTTCCAAAAGTCATTCCATTATATTTTGCTTTTGTATAGTGCATTTGAGAATATACTATTCCCCTTAATTTATTGATATATCTATTAATACAGATAGATTTATTAGTTTTTAACCGTCCCTGGAATAAATCCTGGTCAGCCACATGGTATATTACTCATCATGTCTGCTTAATTCTGCTTAATATTTGATTTAGAATGTTTGCATCTATATATGTGACATTTTATTATAATTTCCTTTTGTATTATATTTTTCATGTTTGATATTGCACATACCAGTTTTTTAAAAGTTCAAAAGCTCAAAAAGTTCAAAAAGGAAGATAGAACTTGCCTTTGGGAATTTATGAAACTTTTTACATCTGTTGATTTGGTTTGTTTTAAATACTACACCTTTCATCACCTTACAAGAAGCATCTTTTTATATGAGACCTTCAGTAAAAGTGAAGTTATCATTTGTCTTTGGCAATACTAGTTGGGACCCCAGAGCTCCTTACAAAGGTTTGGGTACTTCTCAGCGACCACACTGGCCCTAATAGATTTTTACGTATCTGAGATTTTATAGAGTTAATATATAGAAATATTCACTAATTAAAAATTTAGAAATGCTGCTTTATAGTCACTAATTAGAAAATCTCACTAATTTAGAGATATGTAGTATTTAGAAATACTATTTGCCTTTGTTTAAAGCCAATTTCTAATCTTTTAATCTATCAGTTAGCATTTCATTAGCATTAATAAGCATTTGTCTAAATACTTCCTCTATTTAGATAATAAACCAAATCTTAAAGATATAATAAATGAAATGTCTCCAATTATTTATTGATCTATAACAAGAATAAGCTTTTTGAACATCTGCTTATAATCAGAAATTTAATCTTTTGAAATCACCTAAAGTCTGTAAATGTAGAAACAGTCACAGAAGATTGAAATGTCCATAAAATGTATCATTGAACTTATAATAATTTGTTTTTCAAACATATTAGTATAGACTTAATTCTTTTTCTCTCTATCCTTATACTCTTTTACATTGATATTTTAATTCTTTTCCAATATTTCTTCCTTGGTCTTTTTTTCCCCTTGAGACAAGTTTTATTGTTTATAGTTTCAATATTCTTACCTGATAGGGTGGCAGAATCTGAGTGATCAGTTGTTCCTTGGTCAGTTAGTTACTGGGGCTTGTCAGAGTCGGTGTAATCCTGAATTGCTTAGGTCTTTCTTTTTTAAATAACATTTAAAAAGTGTGATAAAATACACATCATATTCAATTTACTGTCTTATTTTTAAGTGCACAGTTCAGTGGTGTCAAGTACATTCATATTGTTGTGTAACCATCTCCATCTTCATTTCTAGAACCCATCTTGCAAAACTTACGCTATAGCCATTAAACAATAGTTCCCATTCCCCCTTCCCCCAGCCCCTAGCTACCACCATTCTACTTTTTCTAGGATTTTTAACTATTCTAGGTACCTCATATAAACAAGAATCATAGACTGTCTCCTTGTAGCAAGCTTATTTCTAGCACCCCTGCTTTTCTTTTGGTTACTATTTGTATGAAATATTTTTTTCCCTCCCTTTACTTTCAACTTATCTGTGTCTTTCTTATTTCCTTTTCTTTATATTCTATGGCTGTTTTCTTTATGGTTACCAAGGGGATTACATTTAAAATTCTAACATAACACTCCAATTTGATTTTTTTAAATTTTATTGAGGTATTGATATACAATCTTATCTTGGTTTCAGATATATAACAGTGGTTCAACAGTTACCCATATAATTAAATCTTCACCCCATCTAGTGTCAACATAGAGGTTACAGAATCGACTATATTCTCCATGTTGTACGATCATCCCCATGACCAAATTATAGTATAAGTGAGAATTTTTGTGCCCCTTTTGCCCCCCTCAACCCACCCATCCAGCCCATCCCCCATGGTAGTAACCACTAGTCACTTCTCAGTTTCTATGAGTCTACTTCTGTTTTGCTCATTCTGTTTTGTTTTGATTTTATATTCCACAAATAAGTACAATCATATGGTACTTGTCTTTCCTCACCTGGCTAATATCACTGAGCATAATACCTTCTAGATCCATCCATGTTACAAATGACAGGACTTCTTTTTTTTAATTGCTGAATAATATTCCATTGTGTATAGGTATCACATCTTTATCCATTCATCTACTGATGGATACTTAGGTTGCTTCTGTATCTTGCCTATTGTGAATAATGTGGCAATAAACATAGGAGTGTATGTATCTTTTTTTTTATTAAGGTATAATTGATATACATTCCTATGAAGGTTTCACAAGAAAAACAATGTGGTTGCAACATTCACCCATATAATCGAGCTTCCCCATACTCCATTGCAGTCATTGTCCATCAGTGTAGTAAGATGCCACAGTTACTACTTGTCTTCTCTGTGCTATACTA